TATATATTAAATTTTAGGCTCATATATTTATTGTCATATTATAATAATTTTAGAGATCTTTCTTGTTTATATTATTGTGTAGTTTGAATGATAATTTAAACTTTTAATGCCCTTAGACTACTGCGCTTTTTTGAGGTTAGAGACAAACAGTTAGAGAGCTACACAATGTTATGACGGCAACTGTGTTGAATTGATGGTTTTTAACCATTCCCAAGAGAATTAAATAACAAAAGACATGGCAATCATGTTGGAGGATATAACAAAAGAATTCATTGACAATTCTTTTGTTAGGTTCCTCCAACATGGCCACCGTGAAAACCATCAATAGTAGAAACGTGAAAAAGAATTCAATTTCTAGAGGGTGGAGTATGCCATTTAACATTGCTGATAGCACTAGATTTTGCAAAACCTCCACATAATTTTTTTTAATGAAATGCAAAGTTTAATATTTCATAACAGGTACTTAGATGCCAACAACCTCTCATAAATTTAAATCCTATTTTATTGTTTTATAAGTTACATAATTTATTTTGATTTACTAGAGACCTTTAACATCAGGTTTACTGCTATTTGCTAGRGATCAGGCCCACAAACATGCCACAAACACAGAGAAACCTCATTAATGAAATTCAATATGCAACAACTTCGTCATGAGGAGTTGCTGAATGTCAAAAGCTTAAGAGAAAATGCCTTAGGTCAAACTACAGTTTGAGGTACCTAGCAAGAACGTTGTGCTAAAGGTCTTTATTTAGTTTTGCTCACCTATGGGCAGCATAATATCCCTTCCCAAGCTCTGAGGTGATTACTATGAAATCACTGTACATAACCAAGGCATAAWAAATCATTAGATTATGGATTAATTATAATTTAGATTATCTTAATCAAAGAAACTTTTGACAAACAATTTATGCATGTAAAGATTAGCGTAACAAGACTTCATCCTTCTCAATTCTGTTGACCTAAGATTTTGTTGCGATGACAACAAAAAATAGCCCTGTTTTGCTGGTCTTTATATTAAATTTAGATTATGACACTTAGTCATGTCATCAATACTATTTAGTATTTATTTTAAAATGTTTATGTGTGTGAGATGCTCAAGGCAAGAAAGTGGGTGTATGGGTGGGCAAGGTGGGAGGTGGGGGGAGGGAATTGGTGATGCATTTCCCTAAATTTGGATTAGCAATAGGCAGTTTGCATGAAGCATCATTTAAATTACTAGAGTGCAAACAATATAACAGTGAAACTTTAGTTATACTAAATAGCACAATTTCATGCAAATTCCATTGTTTTCTATTGTTTAATTAGCATTATTTTGTACTATCTAGCAATTAGTGTTTCACGGATTAATTGTTTGCACTCTATCGCTACCAAACATTTTGTCAATTTTATTTTTAATTTAAGTTTGAATTTCTTCATGAAAACAGGAAGATACAGGCTGTAATTGCTGATAATTAACTGAAAAATGAAAGCATACAAGGGATTCTGGTAGTAAACAGGCTTATCTCCTGGGGTGATTGGTTGATGTGAATGAGCCCCCTCCCTCCCTCTCTCCATCTTCTCAATGTTACTAAAAAGTAAAGGACATAAACTTCTCTTTCTGATGTTTTGGTGAAGGACCTGGTAGTAAATAATGCTTTAATGCAAATATCCTATTGGTAGTAAGGGTATATTATGACTTGTAGTTCTAGGTAGATGTTACTTACTCATCAGCACCAGCTTTGAATTCCTTGTTGCTAAGAACTGTTGTTCCCTCAGAGTCAGTAGCTGATACTGCTGTTACACTCATCTTACCCAAAGCCTTGTCCATGACGTTGGTCACTCTAACCTAGGAAATAATAAAATTAACTCAATCAGTAAATGAATGAATGGATGAAGCAATAAAGATGAATGAACATATTAATCAGTGTTGATTGGGACATACAAAATATACAAAGTAACAACATTTCATTTTTTCCTATTAAAGCACTTTTCAACCTTCTGTGATCAGGAAAATTCCACAATCCCAGACATGTTACATGTTACTTGACATGTTACTTGTGTTTTGGCTAGTGATTTGGCGTGATGTGTCCATCAAGTTTACACTTTCATGACTATTTAGTATTTTTGCATTGATTTCAGACAAAACCCAGGCATCTGGATTTTTTTGAGGTCACAGAAACGTGATAGGTACATTCATAAGGATCTTGGAAGACTAAATAATAGGTAATGAGAAATGATCATATTCCTGTAGCAAACCAGAACTAAAAATTACATATCCCCAATGGCTGGACATGATGTCTGGCTACATTGGACTGTTCACATGTGATGGGCCTAAGAGGTATTTGGCTGGACAAGTGCCAATTTTGRAAAAAAGAGTCTGTTGACAAGCAAATCTTTCACATACCTTGAAGATTTTATTATCAGCAGAAATAAGAGGGGTGCCATAGAGCTGCACTACCACTGGTACATGGAACTAAAAGGAACAGAAAGCAACAATCAGAATGTTTTAGCATTACCTCGCAGCAGTCTTAAGAGGATAAGAATTTTTTAAATCTATGGTTTCTTCATAACTGTTGTAGRGATCAGTCATGCAGTATCACCTTGTGCATCTCAGAATGAGTGTGTGCGGTCATGAATAATTGAGCAATCAATGTCCCAACTATTAGACAGTTAACTTGAAAACAAAGCCATATTATCTCATTAAAAAGGAAGTTGGATGTAAGTGAACAAAAATGAGATTTCCATTTTGGAGGGTTTTGGCCAAAACATTTCTTTCAGAATCCTTTAAAGGAGTTTCAAAACTTACATCATTATTAGAAAGAATATTGAGAGCCCTCAAAAGGAAGAAGGTATCCTTGACTGACTGGACATGTTTCCTGGTCAATAAGTAGTTGGCAAATTTGATGACTTGTTCCTGGAATAAGTTCACAAAAACAAAATTAAAAACAGAGTAAGAATAATAATATAATAATCATTAGTAGTAATTAACTAGTACTCAGTATCATCTACATCTAGTCAAGCCGTTCTCATGGCAACAGAAAAGACTTGGTGGAGAGAGATAGTTAATCTAGCACAGGTCCTGCGTCACCAGTAACCCTGAGGTGATTAATCTCATTTAATGATGAATTCTATCAAGACTAGTGCAATAACGAAAATKTAACAAGAATATAGAATTAGAAACACACAAGAACGATGTGATAAGTATTTGAATATTACGCTACCTCTTGGATTGATGGCTTCTTTTTCAAGTGCTCRCCAAGCTTATAGGAAGCAGCTATCACCTCTGCTGTAGGAACTAGACCACCTTCGAACTAAAATCAAATACAATAATCAGAAGGACTATTTCTTGTTACAAGTATCAAGACCTTTCACTATCATATGTGGAATAATAATCTTGCTRTCTTTTTTTATTGCACTCAAACCTTTCTTCAATCATTTTCATCTACTTCATAGTGTTAAGTAACCATTCAGCTTCGATCATTTCAATGGGGAGGTGGATTTTAACAGGTCAAAAAAAAAGGGTCAAAGAGGATATCACGAAAATGTGTATACCTAAATTTGTTTATTTATAAAGTTTGTGCAAAACTCACCTGTAAATAAGTATTATCTATTTCGTCAGCTTGGGCAACCACATCCTAAAACAAGACAATAATTCAAGAAAAAAATTTCAGAAAACCAAATACATTGCAGGTATTTTTATATTCCTTTTATAAAAGGGCCACAAGTTTGTTGGCCACTTGCTATTATTAAGTGCTATCATTGAAAACCAAGTGTGATACATTTATTTTCTTTATATTTATCATTATGAGTGACTATTGCGAAGTTTACTGTGTGGTTAACCATACCTCAACCATGTCTACAATAAAGCCGACATCAGTTTCTTTGGGCAACAAGATGGCTGTGTTAAGGGAATGGACTGAGCTGGAGAGGGAAAATGGAATAACACAAGACCTTAGAACTTGCATTTGTAATAAATTATAGAAAACTGTTATAACATACAAATTAGAGAAAGAATTCATTAGAAACCAAGAAACAGATAATATTTCAATCGTTACCTCATGACGCTATCTTCTTCTGAGCTTGCCGCAGCACGGATTGCTTTGATTACAGCATTGCTGTCAACTGCAATACAAAAGTAAGAAGCAATTCAATATCATGATCACTCTTAATGTTTTGCATAAGCAACATATGATATTGAAGGGACCATCCATCATATTCCTGCTAGCTACCAATACAGGGCTAAAAGTTACAGCCGGTCAGTCACCAGTCACAATGACGAGCCAAATTAGTTTTAGCTTGGTCATACCTTATTTCTGACTCAATGTCACTGATCGAAATGACTGGCAAGACAAAGATGTGACCGGACAATTTCCAGTTCTGGCCAGATATTGTCCAATGACCAGCCGTTATTTTTAGCCCTATAATCCTATCATCGCTATGCGATGATTATGGCAGCAGTGTGTCTGATTGTCTCCATTGGCAGACCAGTGATCTTGGACAAGGTGACTGGTTTAAGAGATGTTTTCAATTCTGTCCCATGGCAATATTATGTGCCATGCCATATTTCGACCCTTAGAAGAACAACAATAAYGGCTACCAACCTTTCATTCCAAGATTCTTCAGGGAAGACACTGCATAGAAGATTGTACTGGCTTTTGCACCTTCAACAATTGCCTCATTCAGCTTCTTCTCTGCATCATTCAGAGCAAGCTGCAAGGGGAAAATTGGAAATATGATCTTCATTGTACAAAAGATTTTACATAACTCAAGTTGTTTGAATGTTTCACATTTTTGTACTTTCTGTTGCTGAGTTTTGAAATATTTCTAGCAAAAAAAAAAAAAAAAAAAAAAAAAAAAAAAAAAAAAAAAAAAAAAANAAAAAAAAAAAAAAAAAAAAAAAAAAAAAAAAAAAGAAAAAAAAGGAAAAGAAAGTAAAATAGAGCCATTTAGGCAATAAGCTTGAGGTATAATTACATTGCAGTTTCCAAGAGTTTTGCTGACAGATGATGCATGGTAGATGGACTTGATATCATTTATGTCAACTTTTTCCTTGACAAACTTGCATAAATCCTGTAAAAGAAATCAATAATTAAATTAAGGGAGTGGTATGGGTGTYGTTCACTGCTATGGTGCTGTCTCTTGCTGATGTGTTGTGGGGTTGAGGGACCTGGGATTGAGGATTCAATTCACAACTGAACCATATATGTGACTTGAGTTTCTTTGATTTGTTGTTTTCTCATCTCTTTTCACAAGGGTTTTTCTTAATTTGAAGTGTAATGCAATATCACAAAGCAATAAGCAATATCCTCACCTGTGTAGTTGGTATTTCAGACTTAAAGAATTTTAGTCCTTTTACAGCATAATCAGCAGTTTCTAAGTCAGTGAAGGGAGAAGCATCTTGGAAGATTTTCCGTAACTTGGTTTGGTCTTGCAAGCTAAGTACTGAGGATGCTGATAAACTCTGGCTTAAGCCAATCAAGGCCAAAAGCAGTACCAGACTGACACCTGCCAATCAAAAAGCAAAAGTTAYGACTATTTAAATTCACTGATAATTGATGTGTTATTAAGGACTGACACTGTTGTCTCATAAATATAATCTACATCTAGTCAAGCCRTTCTCATGGTAACAGAAAAGACTTGGTGGAGAGAGATAGTTAATCTAGCACAGGTCCTGCGTCACCAGTAACTCTGAGATGTTTAGTCTCATTTAATAGATGAACTTCTTTAAGACTAGTGCGGTTGAAAAAAAAAATTCCAACTATTACATTTCTGATAACAATGGAATAATGCTTTTTTTAAATTCAGTGGTGCATAAAAATCAAGCACTTGTCGTTTTTATTTTAAATTTATCTAATGGGCGTAATCTTAGAAAGGTTATTCACCATTTATTAATCGAGTGACGCTTCATATAAAGAGGTATTTAGATTACCAAGTTGAAGCAATGGTTTATAAACGTAGTTATTACATATCGGAAACAAATTTAGAGAATAATTGTATTTCCTCAGAAAGGTTAAGTGACATAGAAAAAGGAAATCATTTGTGATAAATACGAATTCAATATTCRGAATTTACAGTCTTTTTATATTTTTAAGTACTTGGAGAAGGTGAATGGATCGAAGTCATAACAAGAACAAAGAGTAAAAACAACTTCTTTCAAATGCAGGTCAAACTTCTCACCCGATCTAAAAATTCTTTAGTTACCCAACTCTTAAGATGTATATCTTTTTCTCTGAATAAAAAGCCCGTAAACTTTTGAAAGAGTTTAGGAGATAATGCATGAAAAGCCGGTCTTTGTATCGTTCGATTGATAAAAATTATAAGCGCTCTACACATCGTTACACGTGTGCRGACGAGCTAAAACTAAATCTGCGAGAATCATTTTGAGGATATAAAATAACCTAGAACTATAGGAGTCTTTTAGACAGTTAATGAGCATGTAAATGAGGGTTTAGAGTGATAAAAAGGAGATTTTCTAGGACGTACTAACCTCGTGCAGCCATGTTGAAGGGGAGACGTGTCGGGAGAGGAAGCACAAAGAACTAGTCACGTGGCATGAATCAACCTATGCCGCCGCGCCAGCTGAGCTAAGTGGAAAATACACAGGAAGACCAAGACTTGAAATTCCAAGCAAAGGAAACCCAAGACATAAGGTTGGTTGTAACCGTTATAACGATCCCTCTTTTCCCTTTTTCCACTGGGATCGCGAAGCGCCGAAGGCGGGACATCAAAGGGGTTTGGGGGGATCAATTTAAAGTGTTTTGAGGGGCATTTGCAACATATTTATTACATTAACGTTATACTGTACATAGTATTAAAGTAATTTAACAAGGCAGCAAAGTTATTAGGGATGGGGGGTGGGGAATTGGGAATAGCCCCCAAGTTCCCCTAGCTCTGCAGTTCCTGTCCCAGGAAGGCTAATGGTTGTTTCTTATATTTAAAATTTCCTATATTTAAAAGTAGATTTTTTCTTAACTTTTTATTGAAATAGAAATTAAAATCAAATGTTAAATAATAAAAAAGCCTAATCATCATCGTCATCATCATCAGAATCCATAGGTCGTTGTCTTATTGCAGATGTCATGACATCATGGATTTTATGTTTCTTTCTTGGATCTTCCTCTAAGTCTGTTACAACAGCACCAGCCTCGGACAGCATCCACTCTAAAACTGGAATTGAAAAAAAATATATATATATATATTAATGACAATAAAAACAGTGATGATGATGATGCTGATAGTGATGATGATGATGCTGATAGTGATGATGATGATGCTGATAGTGATGATGATGATGATGATGACAATGATGATAATAATAATTAACATCAACTTTATTACTGAACATTATCATCTTCAAATTCATTAACATCAGCTTTGAGGTTGTTTCAAGTTTTGATCTGTCAATTAGCTGCGCCCTGATTTTGATCAGCCCAGAGGTTGTTTCAGGGTTTGATCTGTGAGTTAGCAGTGCCTTGACTTTGATCAGCCTAGAGTTTGTTTCAGGGTTTGATCTATGAGTTGGCAATGACCTAGCTGTATTAGGTCAGCCCAGAGGTTGTTTCCCAGTCTTATATGTGAGTTACCCATGCCCTGACTTTGGACAGCCAAGAAGTTGTTTCAGGAAAATGATAACAATAGAATGTTTGTTTAATTTTATGCACACTTATACTGACCATCAATCTTAAGGTTCATTCCACCAAATGAGAAAGGACCAATCCACTGTTTCTTCAAGTCTCCATTATAATACACAAATATTGTAGGGAGATTTTTGTCTGGATAGTTTTGTATGCACAGTGTTGATATACTCTTTATAAACTTTGTCGCTGGAAACTTTCTGGCCAACTGGGATATAAATTGATTAATAAGTGTGCATAAGGGAACGCTGAGAAATAAAAGTYAAGGAAGTAAACCAAATAAAGCCATAAAGGATCAGTTATTATTTAGTGGAAGGGGGATGATTTTAGGGAAAGGTTAGATCTTTGGAAAAACAGCAACAGAAAGGGGTCATGAACTAACTGGTTAATTAAGGAAGAGTAAGAGATCTTTTACAATTCAATAACGGGTTACCATGRTTACTACCCACTGAAAGAGGAGTTGCCATCATACAATAATGTAACTAAAAGGAAAAAAAACGTCTGGTGCCATATATATTCTTTTCCACACTCTAAATGAATATAAACCTATTTCAATAAAAGTTGTCATCACCAAAGGTAATAGATGATAGGTCATTCTGACATGGAAATGGTTTCATTGAATACAAAGAACATAGAACCATTCTCAACACTAAGGTTCATGTTCATAACGAGAAGTTAAGAAACAGAAAAACAAGTAATTCCAGCTATTCTTGGATCTTGGAATGATCTACCTCCTATCGCTTTTAGCCTATCATGTTTGGTGAYGACAACATTTATTGAAATAGGTGTATATAGACCACCTGAATGCCGTATTGTCCATTCTGTCTGTCTGTCTGTCAATAGTAGATTTTAATATTACTACAAAAACCTTTACAAAGGATACCCAGTCTTGTATAGATGTAGTACCACCCATACACCTTCACCAGCTTTATTAACCTCTGTGACATAGTCTTGGGCTGTTATTTCTCTAACGTCACCAAAAACCGATGCTTTTTGATAAGCATTTAATTCTGCAAGTCTTTGTTTTCTTCAAGAGAAAAAGAATGTTAATACAGTTGAATCCCAGTAACTCGAACCTCCATAGGGAATGAAAAAAGGTTTAAGTTATCAGGATTTGAGTTATTGGAATATGAAAATAAATTGCCRTGTTTTGCTTATATTCATTTTTAGTTCATAACAGAAAAAGGTTAAAAGCGAACAAAATGTACAGTATTTATATGGCTAATAACACAGAACTACACAGCAAAGCTTGTTAAAAACTAGTTAACAGGACTTTCTGGTGACTCCGTAATATATATATTTTTTTATGTAGCCCCCCCCCCCCCCCTACTCCGCAGCCCCTGTAGAATGATCTTTTCAGGGTATTTTTTTTACATCCTATTTGCTATGGTTTAGAGAGGGAAGGGGTTGTTCAGATTTAATGAGGAAGATGATTAACCGTATTTTTAAATACATTCTTAAAAACTAAAGCCATTCCTCCCCATCCCTCCTCCCCAAATTCACCTCTGGCCCTGTGAAAACAGGTAAATAACTTGTCATTTAAAAGGTAGAACAGAGGGTGCTGTCACAAATGAATCATTGCTTTTTTATCTCGTATCCTTTTGACCATATAAGGTTACGTTTCATTCATCTACCGAGGGGTGGAGGGTTCCAGAGTAATGTGAACAAAACAAATCTAAAAACACATCTCTAAATCTGTTATTTCTATTATAATCCCCAAAAATATTTCAAAGATAATATTGAAAAAAATGAACAAAAATCTTAAAAATCGGTATTTGAATTTCCACAAGTTTCGACGCCACTCCAGAAGTAAGCTTACAACTTTGTTCACGCCTATGATCATAATATGTTTTCAATCAAACTTCTTTAAATTTCATTACCTGTATTCTAACATAGCACGCTCATCTGCCTCGTCTTCCATCTCTTCTAGTTCCTCAAGACTCATGTCTTCTATAGGTTTCGTGTCTTTGAATCTATCATGGATAGTCTTTTCCACCAGGTTGACTATGTCGTCCTCTGTCACTTCGGCTTCCTTTGGTTTCTCGGGTAAAATACCGTGTCTTCTGAGGGCATCGTTCCATTCTGTGTCTTCATTTGGATCCTGCATGGTTCAACTGTAGTGATTCTATCGTAAAGGCAAAGGATTTTTTAAGATCAGTGTGAATATTTCAGTATAGAYTCTTTGTCGCACGATGACTTTCAGTTAATTCCGGCTGAAATACCGACGCTTCGCCTTTCGTGACTGTTACCAGTATCTCTCGGTTATCGATACACAGGAATCCTTCAGACTGTCTTTTTGGAAAGTAAAATTTCATTTTTATTTGATAACAAGCGCATGCTCACACTTAAGATTCCTCTTGTCCTTTCAAAACTTCATCTGTTGCAAAGATTAATTTTTGGGATCATTGTTTGGCAGCATGAAGCCAATTCCACAAAGCATTGAATATTGCGTGACACTAATAATTTTTTTTTGTGCCTCCATACACATCAAATACACAAGAAACATGTTAGTCATTGATAGTCATAGCATTGATGAACAAATGACTAACATGTTGCTTGTGTATTTGATGTCTCCTGTGTATTCATATGTAGATTGATTCACTTGAGTGATATCGACTAAATTGGCACTAAACTGCAACTATTAGTTAATAACGATTTTGTTTTTATTTCACGGATTAAGTACCATCGCTCTTAATAAATTTAAGAAAAATAATAATTTCTTGGTATACAGATATTAACACCACACCTATCTAGCCCGTACACATTTAGAATGCTACAAGTAATATTGTCACTCTTGAAGCTATTAGTAAGAACAGACTTAAGAGAAAAAAATAATGCTCAAGGCCATGTGCCATTGTTTGAAGTGACAAATCAAGTGAACAGGTCTATTATCACTAAGGCCTAATTCTATTAGCAGCACAACCCATACCATATCTATTTGATTAAATGCTCCTGGTATGTATTTAAATCAGGATAT